AGGATTTTTACCAACTCACTGGAGTACTGAAGACAAAAGAAAATTTTTGAGCAACGTGCAAAATTTTTATTGGGATGACCCTTATTTATTCAATTATTATCGTGATCAAATATTTCAAAAATGCATTCCCGACAATGAGGTAAGTAATTTCATTAAATTTTGTCACTCTACGGCATGTAGGGATCATTTCTCATCAAAAAAGAGGACTGTAGAAATCTTATAAAGCGAATTTTACTGGCCCACCATATTCAAGGAATCACATGCATCCTGCAAAACCTATGAAAATTGTCAAAAGCTGGGATTTATTTCAAAACACAAAGTCTTTAGATAATCTTCTATTGACTCTTAAGCCTCATCATAGTCGAGATAAGCATCTTGTAATTCATGACTTATGAACTCATTTTCATAAAGAACATGTTTGGCATAGTCTTGGGAATCTGACTAAAAAAAACCATGTTTGCCAGTTTTTAAGAAAACTGGATGGGAAGCCTATCCCCAACCCATAAAGGGCGTTTAAGTTGTTATTGGACGTAAAACCAAGGGAAGATGTGAGCCATAATCACAACTACGATTTGAATTTTAGTTTGTAAAAACTTATGTCTTTTGGTTTTATTAATAGCATAATATTTGTGTTTTGTTGTTTCTTATATTTGTTTAAGTGTGTTTCAAGTTTGTTAGTGTTCATGATTTCAAGTGATATCTTTTATACTTTATCTTTCTACCTTAGAACATTGAGGACAATGTCTCATTTTGGTTAGGGGAAGAGAGTAGTAGTTGATAAAAAAAAAAAAATTTTCATTTCATAAAGTATGTGCATAATTGTTTTTACTAAGATGGCAGAGTAAATGAGCTATTTTGTTAAAGTGACTCTTGAGACGCATCTTAGTAATCATTCGTAACAAAGTCTATCATAATACTTCTTGAAATATTCAGATTTACAAACTCTCGCATTGTTAGCACTTAATTCTGCTCATATACTTATTTAACATGTATTCTTAAACCTTAATTTACACACACACTTTAACATATGATTGTGGATTGTATATTGGATTATTACATTATTTATGTTCTTTTGTTAAAGGTAACAACTAAGGGAAAGGGATAGTATATAATTAAAAAAAGAAAAAAGAAAAAAATGATAATAATAAAAATGTAGATAAGTTTGGTTTCGTAGCCTCCCTAACCTAAGCAATTAAGCCCGGAGGGGTGTTTTAACATCTAATACCCTAAAGTCAACTGAATTGGGAGTTATTGGCCCAACGCTTGTTACATAGGTTGAGGAGAAAAGCTTAAGGGAATCAAGCATTGCATTATCTACCTATCAGTATCTGCGACCCGAGTTACTAAGCTCATAGGGGTGTCTTAACACCTAATGCCCTAAGACCAACTGGTTTAGGAGTTATTAGTTGAAAGCTCGTTACATGGGTTAAAGATGCATGGTGTTTTTAAATTATATGTATATATATTTTTAAAAAAATACAAAAATAATAATCTCAACCCAAGGAAGTTAACCTTAAACATTAAAACAAAAATTTTGTTTTCTTCAAAGAAAAGCCCCATAATTATGTGTTAATAAATTGAGCATAAAAGAAAGGTTTATGAATATCTTGTTAAGAGGTATTGAGCAAATATATAAATTTAATGAGAGTTTGTTTATCTAGATAGATTAATGGAAGTTAAATGATGAATATCTTGCTTTGTGGAATTTTTAAATTGTTTTTCTATTTTAAAGTTTTGATTACTAGGGCCTAGTAATAAGTTGGTTGGGGGGTGTGATTAGTACTTAAAAGTACATTTTTATCAAGGTTTTATATCATCATTTTGCACTTGAAGTATCAATAACTCCTTAACTAAAGCATGTTTTATAATAATATATCTAATAATATAAGATACCTTTAATTTATGGTAAATGTTCATTTTAAATGCAAGCCTATCACATAAATGAAAGGATTTATTGAAAACTTTAACTTAAATTGCAAGGTGAAAGAGATGACCAAACTTAGAAAAAAGATGTCGGTGCAATCCAAACCGGAACACTATTCGGTAATTAGGTCATATCTGGAGCAATAGATATTAGATTTAGGTCTACTTTATATGGATGGAAAGGTAAGACATAGGCCTACAATTTTCATGGAACCCAAGATCTAAAAAGGCCATTTCAAGTCCAAATTATAGCAACAACAAAGAAGCCCGAATTTGTCCTCCAGCCCGAGCACTGTTCAGTATTTTGAACATATCTGGAGTTCTAGAAGTCTAAATGAGTTGAATATTTTACACAATAAAGCTGAGGCAATTTTCTACAACTTTCATGTTTTTAAGTGGCTCTAATTTGGACGTTATTAATGATATTTTGGGTAAACAAGAGAAGATAAGGATTGTCACCAAGTCAAGAGTTGGTCACCCACTCATTAATTAGTCATCAAATCAATAGTTCCCAATTTTGGCTTATAAAAGGAAGCATTTACCATGCATTTAGGCATCTTGGTCTCCAGATCAAGATCATGTTGTTACTTTCTCTCTTTGTATTTTTTGTAATGTTTATGTTTTGTTTTTATTAATATCAAGTTTATGTCTTTCATTTCCTTTTATTTACTTAGTTAACTTTTATTTTATTTATGTTCCTATTTTGTTTATTTATTTTTCTTTCTTTCATAATGTCTAGCTAAGTTTATTATGTCAAGGTGAAAAATTACACTAATGGTGTAAGAATAAGTATAGTGTAAACTTAATATGGACTTTAATGTTTGATACTAACATGTTTTGTATTTGTTATCTTTTTCACTCTTCAATACTTTGCTTGTTAATTGACTAATCTTGATTTATGTTGTATAACACTTGGTACAACAAATGCTTGACACTTTCATAGCCCATATTGTATGGTATAACCGACACCTGAGTTATGAAAGGAACTTGATTTGTTGTTAACATAAGTTATAATCATGAATGCTTGACGAGATTTACAAGTATTAGCATTAATCGAATAAGATGACTTGTTATTATCATGTTAATAATTTATAATCTGATTGAAATCTCATTTGTGTGTGGTTTCTAATTGAATAATAAGAGTTTATACTATAGTTGTTTGACATACCATTAGTGGAATCTCTAACCTTGACATTTGTTATTATTATTGTTTAATCCTTACATTAATATTCTATCTCCAAGTTCTCACCATCTTGTTCTTCTTCTCTTTCTTTATTATTATTATTGTTGTTGTTGTTGTTGTTGTTATTGTTGTTGTTGTTGTTGTTTTTGTTGTTGTTGTTGTTACTACTATTGTTATTGTTATTATTGTTATTACTATTGTTGTTATTTATAATTTGTACAATTAACCTTCCTATGGTTCGGCCCGGTCTTGTCAGGTTATTTATTACTTCGACACTCCTGCACTTGGGAAAAGACATTAATATTTTAGTCATGTCAAAAGGCATAAACAAGATATTAATGAAAACAAAACTTAAATATTATAAAAATATAAAGAGAGAAAACAAGAGCATGATCTTGATTTAAAAACAATGGATGACAAATATCTCTATTTATAGGCCAAAATTGAAAACTATTGATTTGATGACTAATTGATAAATGGGTGGCCACATCTTGACTTGGTGACAATTCTTATTTTCTTGTTTGAATAAAATGTCATTGATAACGTTAGAATTCAGACTTCCACATGAAAGTTCTAAAAAATTGTCTCAGCTTTCCAAGCAAAAATGATTGAGGTCATTTGGACTTCTAGAACTCGAGATATGGGCTGAATACTAAACCGTGTTTAGGCCGCAAGACAGATTCAGACTTCTACGTTGTTGCTAAAATTTGAACTTCCAAACACCAGAATTGAGTCTATCCTTTCACATGTAAGTTTTAAGCCTATGTCTCAGTTTTTTATCCATATAAAACAGATCTAAATATGAGATCTATAGCTTCAAATATGAACCAATTACCGAACAGTGTTACAGTTTGGACTACACCAGCATCTCTTTTCTAAGTTTACCCTCTCTTTGTCCTTTCAATTTCAATACTTCAACTCATCAATCAATCTTTTTTTTTATGTAATGGACCTACATTTAAAATGAACATTTATCATAAATTAAAGATACCTTACGGTATCACACTTGTTATTATAAAACATATTTTAGTTAAAAAGTTATTGATACTTCAAGTGCAAAATAATAATATAAAACCTTAATAAAAATATATTTTTAAACATTAATCAGCATATGATATATATGCACAGCACACAAACTCATTATGTAATCCTTTGTTGACGAGATAAATAAAAGTTAAGAGTTCTTGTTTTTCTTGTATTCTTGATATGCTTTATTTTATGGCATGCAATCAACTTATGTATTCCACTTATTTTTTAACGTGGTAAACTGAAGAAACCTCTCGGGTGAGAAAAACAATTAATTTTTAAATAAATACGAGTAGAATTGATAAAAAATACCCGAGTCTAATAAAGAATTAGGTTGTCACCCAGGTTTATTTGCATAGTGAAAACCTACCCCATGACAGCTACCTTTAAATCATAGCTTTAAATCACCGGATAAAAAGAGAAATTATAAGAATACACACCTTGACCCTAATCCTAATTTTCCTTATCTGAGCAGCTATGATAAAGACATAGTATGGGTCTGATGCAGAAAACTATTTCAGTGCGCACTAACTGGATCGTACAACTTACTAGCACAGCACCCACTGGGTGGATATCAATAGAGCTATAACTAATAACATAACATCACGGTGACCTCCAGACGATAAGCTCCAGTACATACCCAACTTCAACCAAGTAAAACCAGCAAAGACCCAGAGCATGCAAGCATTAAAGATCAGTGTTGGATTCTTCTTGTTCTGCTAGCAATTTAAACATGGTGGCTATTTACTAATCTGTCCAACACCTACGCCGAGATGCATTTGCATGCTGCTGAGCTTTACTCTCAATCCTGAATACTATCAGCATACATGGGCAGGCGAATGATCTCGTAAATCTCATTCAACAACACATCCTCTGTTATATTATCCCTGATGCTTCGCATCACCTGTTAAGAATCAGCAGGACATCGCCTGTTAAGAAGCAGCAGGAAGATTCATTTACTCCAGTAAAGAGTAATCCATCAAAAACATAAAAGAGGAAGAGGAAAAATGTCTAATAGATACTATAGTAGCATGTCTAATAGATACTATAGTAGCGTATTAATTAAAGCATGACAAATACATACAACACACATGCATCAGAATTCACATATATAAACAGATATGTGTGCATATAAAGGTGATAGAACAGACCTTCTTGTAGGTATTGAACTCGTTGGGTGTTGATTTATCAGTCCGCACCCGCATACAGACCCATACATGTTCCTCTGAATCCCAAGAACACTCAATTATCTTCCCTGAGTATGAAGAGGGATCTAAATCATCTGCAAGTTTTTAGGTCTTGGAGTAAGAACCAGAACAATAAATTGAAAGCCAAAAAACAACCAGGTAAATGAAATAAAGAAAACGAAATGAATGTATAGCAAGCTGAGAGCATGCCCAGATGAAAAAATATGAGCATATGAAAATGGGATTCAGCTCAAGGCAGTGGACACCCGTACAATTGCTTGCATTAACAAGGAATACCGCATTTGCCGATCTGAATGGCAAAATACCCACTATTCAAAAAAAAAAAAAAAAAAACAGAACCTCCCTACCATCACATTCACCAAGCAAATGGTTAGCAACAGTTGGAATAGATTATCAAAGGCAGCAAAGGTTATCAACTGAAATCCCAGTGTTTTCCAATACAAGGGTTGCGTAAATTGTTAACTCAGGATTTTCTATACTGGAACGAAACTTGTGAAATCAAGATGCATGAAAAATCACATCAACCTTTGAATGCAACTTTGTGGCCTTCCATCAGTTTCTTTGTCCCTCGTTCATTCAGATAAAGTAAATGACGATCATCATCATCAACCTGTCAATACATGCAACTAAATATCAGGATGTAAACATCAATTGGGAATTTCAAGCTCATCAAAGGGATGAAGATGGAAAACACAAAAACATCAGAGTTAGCAGCTAAGTTTTGGTGATGTTGACGGACACACCTCAAATCGGAAGTCAACTGAGTTCATTTCAGGATATTTCCACTTCAAAAGGCCTTCATGAGTGCGAGGAACATAAGGATCATCCCAACGCTGGCAAATAAAATCATGAGTAATCTCTTGTTCACAATGGAATAACACTATAAAAAGCATCCAACACATGACAAGTCTTTTACTGTATGATATGTGAGAGGTGCAAAGTATGCAGAATTTTTGGGTGTTGTGTGCAAATGATATTTATTAGATCATTGACATAGGACCACAATATCGGGACTCAAATGGTAAGAGTATTTAGAATAAAAAATCTCCAACGGATGAGTTGTGCAAAAAGTTCAAAAAGCCATCCTTGTCACCTGAAAAATAAGACCATCTGCATCATGTGAAAGCTTTGGTATAAATTCATTTAGGAGCTTGGTAACAGTAGAAAGCGGCCAGAAATTCTTTCTTCTCACCTGGTGAACAATTCAAAAAAAAAAAAAACATAATTTCGTAATAAAAAAAGAGGGGACAAGTATCATATATTGCAAACCCAATACAAAATCTTCTCATACCCTGAAAGGTTCCAGGTCATATCTATAATATGGATTTCGACTCTGGTAAATGTTATGGCGTTCATAATTCCGGGGCTCAATCACTTCTTTTTCAAGCATCTTCCATCGTTCATGAAAGGGCCGCTGCAGAAACAGTTGATCATCGAATCCTATAATTAGTAGATGGAATAAAGGAAAAGCATTTCATTAGGTTGAAGGTATACAGTATACTCTGCTATGTGTTCCTGAAACAAGTACAGCATAGTCATCTAAATGAATGATTCTAATTACCCAAAATACTCTCCAAACTATATCCCAGAAAATCAGTTGAAATGATTAGGAAGAGATCATTGCAAATACGAACAAACAAAATAATTAAATAGACAATGCCATATAAGCATGTCTTTCTCCTCCTTGTACTCCTAGCAAACAAAATCAATTGTAGAGCAACTGCTGATCAATGAAAAAAGGTTATCAAATGGTTGACTAGGATACAAACAGGTTTCTCCACATTCCCAGTTATTCTTTATGAGCTGATTGGCAGCTTATATTGGTGCCCACACAACCCTTTAAACTGCTTCCAATCACTGAAGAAATCTGAAAGAATTCTCAAACAGATCTCTTTTGTTGCTTACACTTGCACGAGCATTTAAGAAATCCAATCCAACTTGTCCAGTGATTTCCATTTATTTCGTAAACTACTCCTATCACAAAGCTACAGCAGGGTGAAAACCATCTTTATCAGCCAGCCTCAGAGAAAAGCCTCGTATTGCAGTGCTTAGTGCTCATTTGTTAAAAGCACGTGAAGAGAAAGTCGTTCCCCTTTCAAATCATCCCTAACGTTCAGGCACATAAGCCTGCATCTTTATGACAGTGGTTGTGAATCCCCAAAATTGCAGCCAAAGATGGGGGTGATGTTCAAGAATATACTGACCAAAGGCTTCAACAGAATGGGATAAATTGTTAAAAGTTTTCACCAATGGCACATGAATGCACTTCATGATTGCACATTTAAATCAATTCTACACCACCAGGGACAGATCCAGAGTGGGAAAAATAGCCCACACTGCCCCACGAAATAACACCATGCACCACGTGGTAAAATTCTAGGTTTTTTGCTCCACCAGATAAAATCTCCCGATTACAGAATTAAATTGATGAAGTAAACACTCCCCTCCCTACCCAAAACAAAATTGAAAGTCTTCAATTGCCCCTAACATCCTACAAAATTACCCCAGCTTTGCCCATATGGTTGCCCTCATTAAATGACAAAATATCGCTCCAGCAACTTCATTTAAAATAGACAAATAAATATATAGCTCTCACAAAAAGTCTCTGATGGTTCTTTGCTTTAGGGGAGGAATGAAATAAGTGATTTAATCTGTAAAAATAATTTAATGTCCATAAATTTCATTGTAAATTTAACCTCTGTGACAGACACTTGGTTGATCGCCATCATATCATAGATAAGGTATCTTCTCTCCTGCTTCTGCGAGTCCGGCAAAGTATCAATAATCATCTCCCCATCAAGTAACGTAAAGTGGTGCATCTTATCAGCTGGACCCTTATCAAAACAAGACAAAAGCAGTCATATTGAAGATCATCTGAGCAACATGTCAAGAACTATACAAATGAGAGTCCTAAAGAAACCATCCTAGAGGAAGAAATGAGTAGATGCATACTTCATTGGTGTATCTGCAAGGAAACCTCATCTGTACCCTTCGGAATTTAAAATCCCTATCTATCAAAAAACACCCGTCCACCGTAATTAACATCATGTATCTTGTTCCATCAGCCTTCCATGTTGCATAATAATAATGCGTCCTCAACAGCAGTAAGTTGTCCCTGCATGCCGCCAAATTCAATACTTTTCTTATTAAGTGACACCAAGTAAAAAATTAAGTTAAAATAGGCTCATAAGCTCCATGGTCACTGTTAGGGGCGGAACTAGGGGTGGCAAGCAGGGACCGGATCTCTGCAAAACATTTTAAAATCCTTTATTATTTAATATTTTTAATTTAAATAAATAAACTTTTTAATAATATATATATTATTATATTAGTTTTGACCTTCCCTATAAAATGGACCTAGCTCCCCCCTGGTCACTGTAAGCCAAATTGGTATACACTATAATAACTCATGAACATATACCATGTCCATCAATTCTTCATTTGAAATGGGGAAAAGAAATTAATAAAATTAAGAATCATTTTCCGTCTACTGTAAAATTTAGGCTTCACTGCATTCATAATAAAGCAAGCAAAAGAATAAAAAACACAAATTTCCTTCTAACAGGCACAACATATAAACAACCAATTTTGAATTGAGCAAATGGAAAGGTCTCCATAGTTCACTTTTGCAGTTCCCACTGCCCCAGACCTCAAATGTGGAGGTCACATATCAAGTAAATGGGGCCAATGTCTTCAGGCATTTCCCACCATGAGAGATAGAGATTCAAGCCACTCCAAAGCACAAACTAAAATATATTTTATATATGATGTGTTCTAAATTATATACAAGCAACAGTACAAACTCAGACGATAGTTCGCTGTCTATTTCCCCTAAATATTATTCAGGTTGTAGGAAATACAAATGACAGCAATATTCAGTTATCGATCATAATGCCAGGACTTCATTTGCTCAATAAAATCTCAGCTTCCCATCACCATTACTATAACATTTTTAATAATTACCATTGAAGATTATCATATTCAATGGTTTTGAGTTATTAACCTAAACCATGGCAATTTTCGATCCAGAGAGCATAAATATTAGGATTTCTTTCATATCCTTGCATGTCTAAATCATAGCTTAAAAGATAGTGATTAGAGGCACCTCTGTTCTAAGTTATAGAGATCCCAACTCAAAAAACTGAAGCTCCTCCTCCTAATATGTATATCAAAGCATAACAAAAAACACAAAATAACAATAAAAAGAAAATCAGTTTGGACCTGCTGAGGGAAACAGGGTGCGACCCAGGGAATATCAGTTTTCCTCTTCTCTGAAATTTAAGAAAAAAGTCAGTAGAAAATGAAGTCTGAATGAAGATATTTCTAGCTCAAGATTTCAAAAATTAAGAAGTTATGAACAACATTTTTTCACCCATTATCTGGGTACATTCCACAATCAAATTTCAATCATTTTTTATGTGAAAATAAAAAACAACTAATGGCATTTGTACACGAAACCTAGGAGGTGCAGGATGTGTGAAAAACATATTACAAGGAGAAAACTGAATTCACACTTGGTCAAAATGATCAAGACAATGCATATCAGCATAAGGTAACTTGGGAAGCAAAAAGACATGGGTGCTAAACCAAATCTAAGATATCTTAAAATATAAGAACGATTGAGCAGCATAAAAGAAGTTTAAATTACAGGAGCATTCAGCTTAAGCGTTTGGTAGCAGAACTGCCGCAGTGCATC